ACCCTTCCAGTGAGTAATTAAACATCTGATAAGAAAGGCCTGAAGGCTGAGTTGAGGTTCAGCCCAAGTGTGCTAAGGCAGGAAAAGGCCCAGATGCTCTGACACAGCGTGAGTTAATGAGATGTAACTGGAGACAAAATGATTTCTCAGCTTGCTCCTTCATTTAAATCCTGTGCTTCTAGAAGTTAATTAATGAATAGTTCATTGCCTGCCTGCTGTGTGCTTGCAGCACCAAGTTGTTCAGCAGCATTTCTCTAGTTCTGGACCTTGACCCACAGTAAGAAATGTACCGGGGCCAGCAGGTACCATGGTGGTTAAGGTGCTGGACTGCCACAAGGTCGACCACGGTTTGAGTCCTGGACCAGGCTGCTTTCTTTCTCTCACTCTCTCTCTCTCTGTTGAGTACATGCGCTCTATAGCAAATTAAATAATAATAATGAATTCAATTGATTAATAATTCTTTGAAATAAATGCATTTAGGGACCCACTTCGTGGTGCAGCAGCAGCAGCACGTTGCTCAAGCAATGCTGCATCCATGCGGAAGACCATGGATTGAGTTCCCCGGTTGACTGGTACATGCTGATCACTCACACATCCAGGGCTGTAGAGAGCGCTTCTCTCTCTTCCTCTCTGTCTCTCTGTCTCTTACTCTAATGAAAGAAAGAAAGAAAAGAAAGCAAGGAAGGAAGGGAGGGAGAGAAAATGGAAGGAAGGAAGGAAAGAAAGCGTTTATGTTGTGACCCAGTTCATACGTGCATCAGCAGATACTCAAACCAAATCATGCTTCATAATCCACATTCTGATACTTTTCTTTGTTTCATTTTCTTTTTTAAAAAACATATTTCTTGGGACCAGCAGGTGGCATGGTGGCTAAGGTGCTGGACACTCCAACATGGTCAACCACGGTTCGAGTCCCAGACCTGGTGGCTTGTTAGTTTCTATCTTATCTCTCAGTTTAGTTTTCTCTGCTCAAATTAAGAATAAATGAATAGATAAATAAAATCAAATAAAAAAGTAATTATAACCAAAAAAAGACTTTAAAAAATATTTCTTTTTTTTTTTTATTTTAACTTTATTTATTATTTTCCAGTTTGATGAGAGAGAGAGGGAAAATGAGAAAGCAAGCCACCAGGTCCAGGACTTGAACCATAGTTGGTCATGTGGGAGTTCAGTGCTTTCAACCACCACATCACCTGCTGGCCCCCATTTTCTTCTTCTTCTTCTTCTTCTTCTTCTTCTTCTTCTTCTTCTTCTTCTTCTTCTTCTTCTTCTTCTTTAATAAAACTCGTTAAACACACAGAAACTTTTAAAAAATCTTACAGGGAATACCTGTATACCCTACACATAGACTTAGCAGTTTGGCACATTTGAATTGTTTCACTGTGTACACATGCATACATACCCACAAACACATATGGGCCCACACACACACACACAGAATTTTTGATGATCCATTTGAAAGTAAGTCTCGTCTAAATACTTTAGCAAGCATATCCTAAAAATAAGACTTCCACAGAGGAATTCGGGGCACTGAAATAACTTTGTATAATGTAATGGTGGATGCATATTGTTACACATTTGGTTGAACCTACAAAAATATACAACACCAAGAGTGACCCTTTATGTAAACTGTAGCCTTTGGGTGATAATGATGTGCCAGGTTTATAGATGTAACAAATGGTACCACTTGGGTGGAGGGATTGCTAATCAGGGAGCTGGAGATACATGGGGAACCTCTGTACCTTCCGCTCATTTTCACTGTGAACCTAAAATTAACCTTCCCCCCAAAAAAGCCTAATAAAAATTTTTCTTTAAAAAAGGCATTCCCCTACACAATTACAACACCATTACTGTCTCTAAGAAAATTAATAGGAGTTTCATGGTGCCACCTAATATTCTCTCATAGTTTTCCAGTTGTCCTGAGAGTGTCCTTCATAAACAGGTTTTTATTTCATAATTTGAAAATTTTGGGGGCAGCCATTAAGCTTGTTTCCCAGTGCATGTATGGTTTGCACTTAACAATCTGAAAAACACCAGTTCGGGAATTCAAAACTCTGTAAGCCATGGCTCCGGCCCCCACAGAGGTAACAGGATGGCTTGCAGAGATGCCATTGACTGGCATAACATAATCTGTCTAAATGAAGGGGAAGCCTGGGGTTTGGACTGACCTTGGTGGCATTTGAATGGGATTCAGGAAGGGGCTTCAAGGCTGGGGAGCCACAGGACTGAAGGCAGAAGTCTGGGCTTGTGTGGCGAGTTGGCCAAACATTGCCGATCCCAACCTGACGGGAGCCAAGCATGCGTGGGGGTTGCAGGAAATGAACTCAGTTGTCCTTCCTTGGAGCGGCTGGTGTGATGTGGCTCTGAACAGGCTTCCTATAGTGCTCCAAGCAGATCCTCTCAACAGTTGGCATGTTGCTTACATCTGTTCCTTTGTCACGTTTCGAGAGACAAACAACAGCAGGCGGGTTAAAAGGTGGCTTCCTGTGCTCCAGAGCAAAACTGTCACTCGCAGCTGCTTCCCAGCTACCTGCCAGAAGTGATTTATAGAATTGGGAGAAGGCAAGAGGGAGAGGGATGATAGAAGCCAGAATGCCTCTTAGTTTGTCCTTCAATCCTCAGGGGATTCACATACTGCTGTAAGGCAACACCAAGCACTAGACAAAAAGTCTAGAAACAGCCCTGCTGCTTACAGGAGCTTGGAAACTCACTAGAGAGTTTGTGTAGGCAGTCTGTGTAGGCCCTGACTTACGTGTTCCATCGCCTGCATCCCATTTATTTACCAGCAAGGACCTGTTAATGGTACCTCCCTTCCCCAAGAAAAGCCCAGTCATGAGGCCACTGACTGTTAGGAGCACACCCCATGCAAGGATGGGAGGGCCTTGGAGGGCTGATGAGCCAGGTTCCTGTCCATTCCTGTCCAAGCCCACTGTCAATGGTAGACTTTCTATCCTAAAACACATCTGGAACCCAGAGCCAAGGACGTGGGCATCTGCTTTAACTCCTTTGTGGTCTAGTTTCCCAAGTTTTGTTGTGTTCTAAAACTTATATTGGTAGACAGATGTTTAGAATTTGGAACTTGTTTATTATAGGAAGGATATAAATGAAAGATTCTCATACAGCTTATGGACTAGAGTCATAATTTTCTAAGAGAACAGTATGTCCAGGAAAACCTATAGAGATATAACTTGAGGAACCAGGGTAGTGTTTTAGCTGTGTCTGCTGCTGGAGCTTCCCTCTGTTTTAGGGGATTTCTTTGAGGCTAGAAGGAAAACAAGGTGTCGTGGACAATATATTGAAAGGGAAGTGCATAAGTGTTTCTCCATGTTCTATAATGGAGAATAAAGCCTGGAGGAACGGAATACCCCAGGTCCCTGGTGGGTTGGTTGTTCGGACCTGGGTACTCACAAAGCGTGAGTGTCTCTGCTCACACATTCCCAACACTCGTGGTTATTATCCAAACCAGTTTGTCCTCCTGACTTCTCAGTATGGTGAAGCCATGTTGTCTTCCTTGAGGAAAATACCCTTCCTATGTGCTTTGTCACCGCTTGCCAATCCCATTGCCTCTGCAATCTTCCCATGCCTGCTCCTCCCTTTCACTGTCCCCAGCCTGAAGCCTGTCCTCTTCTTTCC